TATATATCCTTTATTTATTACAGGGAAAGTGCATATTAATAACATTTCTGTAAATATGCCAGGAAATTTTCATTCACAGTGGAACATGGAAAAAAACTGCAAATGTTTAAACTATGAAACTGTATTTTCAAAAAAAAAATAGGTAAATTTGTACTTTATTTCACAATTCTTTATCTGTAAACACAGTTCACTGTGACATCCTCAAATTCTGGTTAAAGCTTTATCATGCAAAGAAGATGGGGACACCATCAAGAAATGCAGCTGTCTTCACTGGGCCAAAGCTCATCTAAAAAAAGACTGAGGCAAACTGGAAAGCATTTCAGACAAAACAAACTTTTTGCTCACATATTAAAACCCTGCCTCTCTGAGGGTATGGCAGTACATCAGTGCATTTGGCATGAGCAGCTGGCACAGCTGGAACAGCATCATCATTGCAGAAAAGTAAATACAGTGGTGTGAAAAAGTATTTGTCCCTTCCTGATTTCTTATTCTTTTACGTTCGTCACACTTTGTTTCAGATCACCAAACCAATTTACAGTAAATATGAGACACAGATGACACAAGTAAACATAAAATATAGTTAATAGATGAAGGTCTTTATTATTTAGGAGAAAATAAATCCAAACATACAGGGTCCTGTGTAACAAAGTAAATGCCCCCTAAACCTATAAACTGGTTGGGTCACCCTTGTCAAGTCTTTTACAGCCCTGCAGAGGAATCCTGACCCACTCAGCTTTGCAGAATTGTTATTCAGCCACATTTGAGAGTTTCTGAGCATGAACGGCCTTTTTAAGGTCATGCCACAGCATCTCAGTCAGATTTAGCTCAGGACTTTGATTAGACTATTACTATCATTCAGAGGAGGCCTTGCATATTTCAACAAGACAATGCTAAACCACAAACTACATCCAATACAACAACATTGCTTGAAAGTAGAAGAGGTGCTGAACTAACCTGCATGCAGTCCAAACCTCTTACCAATTAAAACATTTGGAACATAATGAAACAATAATAATCCAGCAAAGTAGACCCAGGACTGCTGAACAGCTACACCCCTACATCAAACAAGACTGGATCAGTATTCCCCCCTAAAAACTCCAGGAACTGCTCTCCTCACTTTCTAAATGTTTACAGACTGTTAGTGAAAGAGGAGGGCCGTAAGGTCCACAATTACCTTTTTTATTTCCTAAAAAAGGTACAGTTTCTTCATTTAATCGTTTAATATAAAGTTGAACAAAATACAGTTTTATAAAATTTATAGATGCTTAAATATGATTAAAAGCAATGACTGATGAGATAGTTTACGGTTCCTTTTTTTAATTGTTGCCACATTACCACATGGTGGTAAATCTGAGAATGTTATTTATTTATTTATTTTTATCATGGCAGTAATGACTGTAGTTACCACCATGATGAAAGATCCTGAGGCACTGAGTGATATTCTGCCAGAGTTTGTCAGGACAGCAAGTCTCTGAAAAAAAAAAAAAAAAACAACGCAAGTATTGCCTAATGCCTTTTAAGTTAATTAAGCTCTGGAAGTTATTTTCCTGCACTCCTCCACGTAAAACACCAAACTATAAGCATCATTAGTGCCCAAAAACATTTGTTTCAACTAAAGACCTCTTCCCCAGTCTGAAGACAGGTTTTGTTTTGAACAAATTAATTACACAGTTGGACATTTACCAACATTTATAGGTTATCTGTTTGGAAGCTGTCTTTTCTTTGCACACTGTAGCACACATCTACTGAAACTAAATGGATCACAAACTCAAAAAACAGACATAGAGGATTTATTATATAAAAAAAAATCATGTCAGCTGTTTCCAATCAGCTGAACCGAGTAAACGTAATGCAATGTAGTAAATGTGTTATTTTACTCAATTCAGTTGAGTGGAAGCAGCTGACATCCCTTTTTAAATTAGATCAACTACATCAGTTTTTTGTGCACATTTAAAATAACAGGTAGATTTAAATGCACAAATTATTATTATACAGTATTTTAAAAAATAAAACCATTAGAAAAAATGACACTGGATGGTTAGCATTCTTTTACAAGGAAGCTTACACTCATATATCTTAATAAAGAAAGAAAGAAAGAAAGAAAGAAAGAAAGAAAGAAAGAAAGAAAGAAAGAAAGAAAGAAAGAAAGAAAGAAAGAAAGAAAGAAAGAAAGAAAGAAAGAAATTACAAAACAAATGTATTTTTATGTGCCTTTTTTATAATTTTTTTAATCGAAGTACATATAATTTTATTAATTCCATGTTTTGATGACAGTTTGTGATTATTCAAGGTTAGGTGGATCATTCAGTCAGATATGAAGATGGTTGTGTATCTTTCTGCAGTACGATGTACTCTATTTACACTTTTCTTCACCTCTTAATTGTGTCTTATCCACGCCCGCTACAAAACAGAACAGCAGATTTGTCCTTCACAAGTTGTTCTCGTGCACACATTCTAAAAAATGAAGTGTTGAATTGACTTAACCAAGTCATGTCAACTGGTTCCATTCAAATGAGTTGAGTAAATTCAACGTTCGTTTTTAGAGTGTACGTGTTAGTGCTAATTTTGTCTCCTCACCTCTCATTCCTGAATGTTTGCCTTGTGTCTTTGTCTATCTCTTCCTGTTGGATCACCCTCCTTTTCACACAGAGCAGGGGACAAGACAACAATGTGAAACATCTCAAGGCCACATTTGGGTTACAGAAAGATAAAAACCCAGGTTCCCAGGTCTGGACAAACAGTACCTCGTGCAGCATCCTTGTCTCCCATCACCTTCTCCAAACAGACGTACAGGACCAACCGCCACCGACCTGAACTGAACTCGGTCCACAGCTTGACCACACCGCTCGTCCACAATGTCTTTTGCATTTGCGGTCATGATGATGCTTCTTGGCTCTGCAGTGGTGTCTTCGTTTGTCCTGCACCCATCCAAGAAAGAGGCTGCAATCTCTGCAAATGCCAATCAAAGGTTAGTTTGAGCCTGAGTTTTGAAATTTTTATTTTATTTTTTATTTTTTATACTTAAAGGAAATATTCACAAGAACCTTTAGAATAGTACACATGGTTAATGAAATGCATAGTGAGTTAATATTAAGGCATCTGTGAAAAATGATGAGGGAAAAATAGATTTTGTGCAAAATCTACAGTAATTTACTATTTGTATGCAATTAAGGTGCAAAGATGTATCACCATTCTGCTCACGTGTCTGAAGTGGAATAAATAGTTGATATAAAAAACATTTTACTTTGCTTCCAGAGGACATGTACATCAACGAATAAGGAAAAAATTGAAAATCCTATTTGTTTTGTTAATATGTGACTGTATTGGATTTTCAGGTGCCCAGATGAGTCACTGCAATCGACAAGGAAGAGTCTCCTCGGGGCTCTCAACATGCAGACTGAACCACAGCTGCCTGCTGGGTTCCTGGACAGCATCCGAGAACAGTGGCAAAGAGCATTTAGAACCACTTCTCTGAGTGCCAAGGACACTGCAAGTAAGTAGAATCCAAAAAAAATACATTTTGCAAAACATCTGTACATGCCACAAAGATGAATTGTGAGATTAATCATTTGCATCTCTCGATCCAACAGCCATCATCGACTCTTCGTCGGCTGAAAATGGGAACAGCACTGGCCTTAAGTGTTGTTCCATGTCCTCTGTGGTCTCCATGAAAGGTATGCAGCCCATTTTTGAAATACGTGTTATTGTTTTTTGTTCCTTTTAGACAAAAATAAAAGAAATGTTTTACTTCCCAGATCTGGGCTGGGACAGCTGGGTGATCCACCCTTTGAGCCTGACTATTGTTCGGTGTGCGCTGTGCAACTATGTGGACAACACCATGCAGTGTCCATCCTCCTCCAGCACCCAGGACTCGCAGGTAATTTCTCCGAGTCTTTAACTTTGAACACTGTCATTTATTATTGCATACAAAAACATACAGCCATCCTGACTGGGAAAATTCACAAAACTAAGTCGGTCTACATATTTCACTCAATCTACTCCTTTTTGCCCAAAAGTCTGTCTCTGAGCCGTAAACAGCACGCACATTTTTTTCACCTGGGTGTGTCTCCAACATACGCCTGTTTCCTTCCGCTCTCTTGCCAACATCAAATCAAACACAAAACAGGGCATTCAACAAAGCTGGCCAACCAGAATGAATGCTATGATAAAGACAAACTGTAATTGTGACTGAAAAACTGGGCATAATTCCAATAGTCCTTAAATAAAGTTGTTGTTTTTTTTAACTTGGTGAGTTTATCCAAACGATTCAACAAATTTGACTTGATTCAAATCTGTCTTTAAAAATGAATCTTAACTGTTTTTTCTACTTATTTTTAAGTTATAGCAGGTTTTACTATCACACTGTGGGACTTTATACATTTTGCTGTCAGTGCAAACGTTTGTTTTCTCGTCCTCCAGGATAATTTGCCATGCTGTCAGCCCGCCTCCCAGGAAATGGCGTCCATTGTCTACATGGATGAAAGCGGCGCCATCACCATCTCCTCGGTGCAGCTGACCCGCAGCTGCGGCTGTGGACCTGGGAACACTGAGCAGCAGGGCAAAAAGTAGGCTGCCTGTTGTCCTTCAGTCCTCAGGAAGTGATACGAGCCACTCTTCTGTATCTGACTTCTCTTCACACACAGGCCTATTGTCTCCTGAGCTCAAAAGCCCACCTGCACTGCGGACTGTTTTCTCTATCTTCAATTGTTACTCAGTGTGTTCGGCGCACGAGCGTGGGAACCAAAGCAAAGTCTCAGTTTTGCATTCCTTCTGCAGCGCTGTAGCAAAAACAGATTTTTTTGTGCCTGCCAGTCATGAAAATTAAGTGCTGCACATTTGCAATCTAAATATTTATTGGTTTTTTTTAAGTACCCAACACACAAACTAATGTTAATAAAGCATTTAACTTCTAAAAAAAAAAAAAAAGCTCAGAATCTCTGGCACTAAAAACAACCTTTGTGAAGTTCAGCTGCCGTTTGTGTAATAAATCTCAAGAGTACAGATCAGATATTTATAGCTGCTAATAGTTACGGAGTGTTCCCTCTAAACATCCAGGACTGCCTGTGCCAAATGCTGAACAAGCCAGTCCTCTCCGGTGTGAAAGCACCATGTCCTCTGATGGTAAAAAAATTCTGTTTAGCCAAAACCCTGTGAAGCTGCACGGACCAGCCTTAGTCTCAACAGAGAAAAGACACACACGAGTCTGAAAATACACTAAATTTGAACCTATGTAAAAACAAAACAGATAGTTTTTTCTATGCACTTAAGAAAACTAAAAACTTGCAGTGATATAATTCAGCATTGTGTAAAAAGTAATGAAGTTCTTCTTGACCTCTATAAAGCACACTTGGCAGCCTTCAGAAACACAAGATATGTTGTTTTGGTTTAATTACAGTGTGGCTCTGATTTGTCTCACATGTTTGCTAGAAAAACAGCTGCAGGATGAACTTGGTGTCGGTTTAAGCAAAGCTTTATTTTCAAGTTTGAACAGTTTGAAAAGAAGTACACACACTCGCGCGCACGCGTGCACACACACACACACACACATACACACACACACAAAAAAAGGTGCTCTGCAAACACAACAGTCCAAATTAAACCAGGGGAAAAACATTGTTTATTCAAGGGTTTTGGTTTAAACTAGAAACAAGTTCAAGATTGTTTTCTTTCCACAACTTTACATGATTTTTAAAAAAGTATTTTTAAACTCATTTTTCTTTCTGTATAAACACAAACCTGTTCATTTTGCAAAATATAATCAGAGTGCTTTTCTTTATAGTTTAGAACAGAAAGGTTTGTTTTGTTGCAAAGTTTTTACATGGTGACAGTTCTCAGTTTCTAATTTCTTTGAGTCATTTTTTTGTACTAATATACTTCACAAAGTTACCTCACAGTTTACATATTAAAGTATTTTTTCACAAATGTATTACTGCTCAGTTTAATCAGTAGAGTTAGATCACGTGATCACTGCTTTGTCATAATTATTTGTACCCGTTCACTTATTTGTTCTTAATTATCTGAATAAAAATGACTAAAACAAATTGAATTATTGCTCTCCGTGTTTTATGACCGAATCGTCTGGATCAAATATTCTTTTCTAAAAAGTTGTATGTCTTGTTTAAAGAAAATAGTTTCTTTCAAACCAGTCCCTTTTCTCATCTGCCAGACAAGCAGGGGCTTGTGGAGTTGAGCCAAGGAGGAGGGAAATAGGAGATGAAGAAAAAAAAACAGGTGCTGAGGGGAAGAGGAACATGCTGCCTGCTTCTGAGCAGCTGATGTTTTCACTCGTTGTTTGAACTTTTGTGCTTAGAGTCTGAATTCTAACTTATTATTCTTATAATAACTCAAAAATCTGGGTTTGCAGCTTCTTTTTGCTAGCAGATTTGTTGCACTTTTTTAATCAGTACTGGACAACATGCTTGGATATTTCAGCCTGTGGATGTCTTTCGGCCTCCTGTTCCCATTTCTGCTGGCTGCAGGGGCGGTTGAGTGTGCGGAGAAAGAGACATTGCTACACCCGAAACCCAGCACCATGAAGAAACCGACTGACTGTTTGATAGAATGCAGCTCGGTGACGTACGAGAAAAAACTGCAACTTCAGGACAACCACAACATACAGATGTTAGACTCCACAGAAGGTAAGGTTAGCTTTTATTTTAGGTAAATCTAAAATTCAGCATTCTTCACCTGTGCTTTTCAGCTTTATGGTGCACAGAATAACAGTAGAGGCTTATGACCCCACAACACAAACACATTAATTAATAGCATTACAATTTTGTTCTTACATAAGAGGCCTACTGTATTTATTTTTTGCATCATGATTAGTGTAAATATGCTATTAGCAATCTTTTTTAAATTTAAGTTCTGGAGATAATCTAAAAACCATCAGTTTGTGTTTCATGACCCACAGAGATTTAAACTAAGCTGAATGTAGAGAAATGATTATGAATAAAAGTGATGCCTTTCAATTCATCAGTGCAAACTCAGATCTTTTCAAGGATGAACTGTTTTCATCTAAGACACATCTGATTGGGGCTGCAGAGCTCTGTGGTCAGTGGTCTCATCCTGAGGCTGCAGGTTCGTATCAAGAAAGGCATCAGGCATAAAACAATTACCAAACACCCCCGTCCCCGCTGCAAAAATGAGCAAACAAAACAGAATACATTTGACCGTATCACCTAATAAAACATTTTACCTTTAAAGTGAAGCCACCTCTTTTGGAACATCATAGTTTCACTTAAATGTACACAATTTCCTTCTAATTTATGTCAATATTTAAGTTGAGATGTTGAGCGGAACATTTGCTGTAAAATGTGTACATGACCGTGCTTGACATGCAAAAACTTTTTAAGTAGAATTCATCATGAACATGCTCCTTTAAATCCCTTTATTTTCACAGGAGAGCTCGGGGAGTACTGCTGGTCCACTGAGCTTAAGTGCATGATTGGAGACAGCTTTTTGAACGCCTACGTGGTGCTGCCCGTGGATTTATCTGCCGTGGGAAACGAGCAGCTGGAAGTCAAAACCACAAGTCCGACCGTCACGACCTTACCCACGCACAGCGGCCCCACCACCATCGCAGAGAGCTGCGGCCTCCTTTACCAAGTCACGTCGTTTTTCAGCGGCCCCAACACCGAGACGTCATTATTCTGCGTGCACGTGGTGACCCGGGAAAACCAGCCGGGCGACGTGGTTCTTCCGTGTCCCCCCTATCTGGTCACCTTCTGGCAGAGAAATCCAAATCAATCCAACCAACAAGTTGGTGGATAAACTGCAATCAGTCTTTTTGTTTGTTTGTTTGTTTGTAACTTGAATGCTCATATAGCTGCTGTTCTCAATTTAAATTAAACGTGTAAACAGTATGTAAATATATAACCAGTAAACTAAGATATTAAGTATATAATACTACACAAAGAATCGTTCAACCACATACTTTATTTTTTTAATTTTAGTTCTTGTAGATCATGTGTCAAACTCAAGGCCTACGGGCCAAAACTGGCCCTCGTTAACATGTTATCTGGCCCCATAGTTAACACTAACTGTGAAATAGTTTTATGTTTTCTCTTTATGTCTCTGGATTTAGTGCATTGTTTTCATGTCAGCTGGCCAACTTTCAAGCTTAGAAATTTAAGTCTGAATTTTTCAGTAATCTTAGATTTTGCTGTGCCTCGAGCAAGAGCGAATTGACCTTAATTATCTTTTGTTGGTTTCTTTTATTTTAAAGTGCATGTGACATCAATTTTTTTGTAATACACATGAATGCATTTTTGGAAAGAGAACATTGATAAAATATTGCAAAACAAATTTTATGTTGCTGGTATGAACAGTTGTTGAGATATTTGCATGTGAAGAAACAGGAAGTGATGTCAAAGGGGAATGCCTGTACATAAACAGAGCATTGTTACAACAGCTAACAACAGAGACTGTAGAGAAGAATGTCATATTTCTTTAGATTATTTTGACTTTCTATCAAAGAGAGATTAAGAGGAGTTAAAGTTTAAATAATATTGTTTTAATAAATAAAGACCAGAGAGTTTATTTTATTCAAGAATTCCACTTTGATGTCACTTCCTGTTTCACTTTGGCTGAGCCAAATCCAAAAGAAAATAGGCCAGTTATGAGACAAAATGTGTAAAATCATGTGTATTAAGCCAAGTTTCTTAAGAATAAAAATGGTTTTTTAAAGTTTTTATATTTGAAGGTTAGGCATGTCACAGGCACTTTAAAGTCAAATATTGGATATTTAGTGAGATTTTTCTTTTTTTTTTTTTTACCTGATTTGTTGAATTGTGATGAAATTTATCTCTAAGATATAATAAATCCAAACGGGTTTTGGTTGAGAGAAAGGCATACACAAATAAATGTTAATGATATGTTTCTAAGTTTAATATTTTGTCTTTATTCATTAGGTTATGTATGTTCTAAATGATACATAAAATGGCCTTGGAAAAGGTTGTTTGTATTTCTATAAAATAGTTTGTAATATAACATTTCTTCAATAAATATTGACAGAAATTGGCCCTTGGTTTTGACCATGTTTTGAATTTTGGAGTCTTTGTAGCTGAGTTTGACACTCATGTTTTAGAGGGTGGCAATAGAGCTCAGCTTGACATTTATATTATTCAGAAATCAACCGTGATTTCAATGATTGCTTTTGCAGGTAGCAATTTCCCTCGGTTACTAATTGAGGAACAAATATGTATTGTTCTTTGGCTGTCAAGTGTTAGATTTGGTCAACAGACAAATCTTGCACTGACCAAAATCTTTAATCATAACTTGAGGAAATTCAGGTCTTCTCTCTACAAATATTGCAACTTTTTGAGGCATTTTCTTTTTACTTTTTTCCAACCACCAGACAGATTTTTTAAAGTAAAAACCCTATTCTGTAAATAGTTATGCTGTAATACCAAATACTTGTACTGCAGGACTAGCACTTGTGAATAAGTATTTGAGTATTTCAGTTAAACACCTCAAACGTGATGTATTAAAACTGAAGCATTCAAGCATGAGATTTTAACCTCTGTATTTTAGCTTGTCTGAGCGTTGTTACAAAAACGCATTAACTTAGATGCTTGCAATTTTGTTTTGGAGTTTACTGAAAGAGATCACTTTTATACATTTAACTCCTGTGTAGAAAAAGCACCGTGTGTCTGAAAGGCCACGTAAATTCCTCTGATGCGAGATCTTTTTTACTCATTTTCTGTCCTGTTGGGGGGGTGGACAGTACCTTTTGCAGCAGTAAACAGGAAACAGGTGAGGGATACCTTGGATGTGTTGTTGCAGCATTACTGTGCCAAAAAAATGATCAAGTTAGATTTGGCAATCTTTTATTGCATGTTCTCAAACACGCACAGGAAGGCCCCAGCCGAGATTTAAACCACAGATCGTATATGAGATGATTGTACCAAATGGTTTGCAGTGCAAACATATAGCTAAACACTAAGTTTGCACACATATAGTGTTTAGCTTCAAAAGAAGGCACAATGGAGCTTATTATGATGCTTTTGAAACAACAATTAGATAGATAGTTCTTGTGTCATGACCATGTGTCTTTCATAGATGAGGTACAGTCAGTAAAGTTAGAATGTAGTTGTTATTGTTGGATTTGTTCTGTCAAACAGTGTGTTTCTGCCTTGTAAATAAACCCAACATAAGCAGGCTACACAAGTATTATTTACTGTTTCACGCCATTTTAAAGACTTCTGGAAAAACTGCGTTGCAAACCCACATTCATTCTGATACTTCAAGACTCGCAACATTGTACGAATAATAAAACTTTTCTTTTTCTCAGTTTAAATGTTGCGTTGTATAATTTTCTGTTTTTTCAATTATAGTAAAATTTGAACAATTTGTTTAGATGTGCTTCATGTGACTACAGTTTTCTCTCTGGTTTGCGTCTTTAATTTATTTTAGCTTAAATACAAACAGAGCAGACCAGGATTTTCCTTTCATTGTGATGTCAGCTTTAAAAGCTTTATAAGGTGAACAGAAACAACTATAACCACAGGTAAGCTATTCAAATGTGGGGATTTTGTAAACTTTACTGAATAATTTCTGGAGATGCTCAGCTTTATTTCAATACAAACAGCACAGTGTCACTGTATTTGTACAACATGTCCATTATGTGTGATTTGACTAATAGTTGGGGTAATCAGGTTAGTAAGACAAATTGTGTTGCTTATTGAGTGTTGAAATCAGTGGGTTTTTTTATCTAGCAAAAGAAACAAGAGAGCGCCACCTGCTGGATGTTACATAAACTCAACTACTCTGAATGACTGGCTTCCTGCCAATTTTATAAATTTCACAATAAGTAATAATTGGATGTACATCTACAACTCCTTAACTTTGAGTGTCAAACCAATGAAAAATGGTCATCACAGCTGTTCCACCTTAGCCTACACAAAAACAACTGTAACTCAGTCAGTTTTATTAATTATGAGCTGAAGTTTGGGCAAACTGTGCTTCAGGGTTTGCTCAGTGTGTCTGTTATTATCATCTCTACCAGGTCCTGACTGCATGCAGCTCAGGAGTTTGTATGGATAATAAAAACCCTTTCAAAGACAGAGCCAGTAGAGAAGGAAGCAAGAAAGATCACCAATGAAAAAAAATAATAATTGTGTGCTAATCTTAATGAGGAGTTTTTGAGATATGATTCAAAGTTTTTCACAGCTTATGACATCCTGCTGCTGATTTACTCACCCAAACAATTGAGTCTGTGCCAAAATAAAGTTATGACGTAATCTCTATTTTTTATCCTTTATCCAACAAGAGCTTTTTCTTGTTTCTTTGTCTCAAACAGCATTTTTGTGAATTGTTTTTCAAAAACTATAAACTTTTTTACTCTCTCTCTCTCTCTCTCTCTCTCTCTCTCTCTCTCTCTCTCTC